ATAATAATTCTGGGAGCTGGCACATCTGTTTATATGTCCTCTTTTGTCCACAGATTTCCAGGAGCACAAGCCCTATGGTATAGCCTAACTTTGTCTCGCTACGCATCTTCAATTAAATATCAGACACCAGGTGAAATTTTGTGAGAGGATTGTACTTGGGGGAATCCACATAAGTAAAAACTGACTTCAGTTTCTGAGAGGACCAAAATGTAGGCTCTGAGGACTGCTGAGCCCAGATTATAAAGATTAAAGCTTGTATCTCAGCTGAACACAAGTTTCAAAAAAATCAAACAAACAAAACCAAACAAACAAACAGTGATCAGCTGCTTTGGTAGAGCCTCACATATCATTAATTCACCAGGAGATAATATGTCTCTCCTTCCAGCCGTGGGAACTCAGCCACGGTACAGTGTAACCCAGTTCAGATGATGGTACTCACATTAAAACCATCAAGCAACATTTGTGGATGCTTCTATTCTGAGTCAGATGGTTTTAGAATTTTGGCAGACATCATGCAGCCAAAGAGACAAAAAAAGCCCAGTTATTACTGTTCACAGACAGAAACTGCTTCTTCACAAAGGGCCACAAGATAGGCAGCCTGACTGAATGAATTAGGTGTCTAATGTTCCTACCCTGGGTCTAGCCACAGGTCCCTCCACTTGTTGGCAGGGAATGGGGAAATTCCAAGCCAGTAGATCCTCCCCTCCCCAAGGCCCTTCAAAATTGAGTAAGAAGGAATAGTGTTCTTGGGCAGCAGATCCAAATGACATAGTGCTGTGGCCCAGCAGTTTTTACCAGATCCAACACCCTGGCAGGCTGAAGGTGAACCTCCTGCACATGAGCTAGGGAAAGGGGGCAAGAGAGAAGTGGCAAGAACTCACTCGGTTAAGAGCTTAAAAAGGGAAATCTTTGGTCAATTTCTTGCCCTTGTCTGCTAGAGGTTTGTTCAGCAGATAGACACATTTCCCATTGAGAACTACCAAGGCTCTAAAAAGTAGTGGACTTTTCCAAAACAAAGCTCAGTATCTTCCATCCTAAATGAACATATTTTGGGAATTCTTATACCTTGCACGAGAAGGCAAAGGTCTGTCCCCAGGGATGCATTCACCATTTTCCTTGACTCTATCAAAGGGATGGTAGTAGATGAGAAGCTCGACATGAGCCACCAGTGTGTGCTGGAGCCCAGAGAACCAAACACATGCTGGGCTGCATCAAAAGAAGTGTGGCCAGCAGAGCCAGGGAGGGGATTCTGCCCCTCTGCTCTACTCTGGTGAGAGTTCACCTGGAGTACTGTGTGCAGTTCTAGGGCCCTCAGCACAAGAAAGATATAGACCTGTTGGAGAGGGTCCAGCAAAAGGCCACCAAGATGATCCAAGGCCTGGAGCGCCTCTGCTGCGAAGACAGGCTGAGAGAGTTGGGGCTGTTCAGCCTGAAGAAGAGAAGGCTCCGAGGAGACCTTATAGCACCTTCCAATACCAGAAGGGGCTACAGGAAAGCTGTGGAAGGGCTTTTCATCAGAGAAGACAGTGACAAGACAAGGGGTAATGGTTTTAAACTGAGACAGGGGAGATTTAGGTTAGATATGAGGAAGAAATTCTTCACTATAAGGGTGGTGAGGAGCTGGAATGGGTTTCCCAGGGAGGTTGTTGATGCCCCATCCCTGGAGGTTTTTAAGGCCAGGTTGGACAAGGTTTTGTGCAACCTGATCTAGTGGTAGGGTCCTCTGCTCATGGCAGGGGGGTTGGAACTTCATGATCTTTAAGCTCCCTTCCAACTTTAATGATTCTGTGATTCTCAGATTTTATGTGAAGCTCCAGCCCCACTGAAATAGAAAAGGACAGGATAGCCTTCTCTGAGAAGCAGTGTGGTTTGGAGGTCAAGAGTTACTATGCATTGGAGAGAAGACTGGCTCCTACATGTTGTTCTTGGCAGCAGCGAGACACACAGCTTAACCTTGAAACCTCACCACTGCATTGCTGCAGTTGATACCAAGGCTGCCACCACTGCTCTGCTCCCCCTGACAGTATTTGGATGAGATGTAGACACCCAGTTTACTGGATGACCTTTTTGCTTTCTAAGCTCTGGGTTAGAGACAAGCTTTGTGATGAAAACAGCTGCAAAGCAAAACAGAGGTACTGGATTTGTGATTTAAGACCCTTCTTCTGACCCTGCTGCTTCTCTCTCCCCATAGCTGCAGGCAATGGGGAGTGTTTTCTCTGGTTTCAGACAGACAAGAGGTACCAGCAGTTAAGTGAATACAAAATGACAAATACATAAAGCTGGCATCTTTGTGCAGACAGACATCCCCACCTTTGCCAGACAGCTCAGATCCTCTTGTCATCTCCCAAGTTAGACAAAGAACCTGTCAAATCCAAACTGATTGATGCATTCCACAAAAGCCCCTCTGACCCACTGTCTTCTCCCAAGAGCCTTCAGCTCTTCTCAGCTTTTATATCATTAACACTCTCAAGGCAGGCAAGGGGTCATTTCTAATTTGTGAATGCCCTTGGACCATAAGCTGTGTTTTTTAATTGTTTACCTTGCATATTAAACAGTACTTTCAAAGGTACTGTCAATAAATCATCTATGCATAGGGATCTTCATTCCAGACCTGGTTGTTACTTTACCTTTTTTGTTTTGATCAGATGAGATTAAAAAATAGTCTTTGAGGGCCATTTCAGTTATCAAGAACAGTGCCAGCACCAAAATCTCCAGAGAGCTGAGGACCAACCCAACGATCTGAAGGAAGAGCTCTGGTTTGCAAAGAAATAAACCATACTGCTACTTTGGACCCAGAAGCGGGTGCTCAACTTAGAGCATTGTGGCAGTGAAAAGTGCCAGCCGGGAGAAGGTCACACAAGGCTTCTGCCCACCAAGATGGGCTGTGTGAGCCTGGCCAGGCAACTCTCAGAAGTGCCAAGACCTGTGCTACCAGTTCTCTAAGTGCCACACACAAGGAAAAATCAGATAAATCCCTAGTTCATCAATTTAACCTTCTCTCAGAGCTCCTTGCCATGTGGGCAAGTATAGCCCTCAACCCTGTAATTCAGCAGTTTCTTTAACAGGTTTGCATTCTCTTGTTTGTACATGTGTCCCTCTAGTTTATTCTCCAGGAGAAAACAGGAGGGTTTTTTCAGTTCTCAACTTTTCATTTCCCAAAATACTTTTTATTAAGCTTACAGGGCCGGAAGGGGAATATTTCCATATGTTTGCATGTAAATGCATGACAGTGGATCACTAGCACTCAATCTCCCTCTCTGTCTGGTATGTGATGCTACAGAGCTATTGAGCTGCAGCAGTGGTGTTACAAATAGAGCCACGTGGAAGTCAACATTTGGGTTCACAGGGTTTTTGTTAACCTTGATCCCATTTTTAGGTCACTCAGAAAAGGTCTGAGTTTCAGGATACCTAATAAGTTAGCAAAACCTATCTACTAAGTCATGTCTGCTCAAATTCTCATGGGAACTCTCAAAAAGGATTCAAGAATTTAATAAGCTATCATCAAAGAGTCATTTGAAAGAAGTCCAGAAAAACTGCCCCAGATTTGCTCCTTCTTAGTCCCAAATTCATTCAAAATAGTGCCTACATTTCTGAAAGGTATGGAAATTACAGTGAATAAATGAGAATCCAAGAGATCCCCATCAAGCACAAATGAATTTATGATAACTTGGTCTCCTGGTTCTCCTTCTCTGGGACATCGCAGTAAATTTCACAGGCTGATTTCTAGGAAGCTGCAAAAAGAAGAGGAACAAAAGCAAAGCAAACTGGAAACTGCCTCACATGCAGTTACGTCTTGACCATCTGCGAGTGTAAAAGGTAGGCTGCCTTTCAAACAACTGCATTTAGAGGTTGACTTACAACCTGAAACATCAAGGATTTTCTGGTAACACGGCACAGGGGAAGAAAAAAAGAAGTGCTGTTAAACAAAACACACACTGAGCAAATGCTGCAAAACTAAAAAACTACCGAAAGATAGTTTCCATTTTCAGGGAAGAATGGGGCTAACAGCTTCCTCTGCTCCCTGCCCTTGCCTGCAGTACCCAGAGCTTCCCAGGTACAGGACTGCCCCATGTAAAGTCAACAAGTGCAAGTTCATATCTAAGAGAAGCACAAGCAGTGCTGTAGGGCTGACTGTGAGCTGGAGTGCAGAGCCACATTTTTGATGGGAGCAGCATCACGAGGCCCATGTGTAGGACCCTGCAGCGCAGGGATGTGCTGGAGTGGGAAGACTGGCCACACCATCAGGGACAGCTTGATAGACCAGGCCCCCCAAAAAGGAGAGACCAGAAGAGCCCCTTCGGCAATGAATTATTTAAATCAGGCACTAAGATGTAGCTCTGGTTAAAAAGCTTGTTCAAATTGCTTTCACTGTGATTCATAAACTCTTCATGCAAATTCATATGTTAGGATGAGCACAAAAATTAGAAAGCTGGAATAAGATTGCTTTAATTTAAATAAGAGACATGGTTGTGAATATTAGGCTTTTACACTGTTAACAGTAACCCATCAGATGTTAACAAAATCTGATATGCAACAGTTTTACATATCCCCTTGTGGGAGAAAGATCAACTTGCAAACCGCTTTATAAATCAGCCACACTGTTAGAGTTAGGCTACTGTATCTAAATGGCTTTTAGATATGCTTCCTGTTTTAAGCTACCATATTTACAAATGAAAGCTTTTTCAAACCACGTCTTTTAATACAATTTGCATATTTAGTAATACATTGATTAACATTAAACACGGATTATTGCAATTTATTTCAGAAACAGATGGGATGCATTAAGTGAATAGCCAGAGTGTCTTAACAGAGCACACTCCCAGACTGACTTCTGATGAGTGATGAATACAAAAACTTCATTAACTAACAAGAAAAGAGGAAAGAGGAAAGGACACTTCACTCTGGCTCCTTTTCGAGCACGCCCCTCGCTTGAGAGTCTACGAAGCTGCCATCACGAAGAGTTTAAATCAAATGCCATCCAGAGATTCGCATGGGTTTACTGAAAGTTCTGGCACAGCGAAGACAAACTCCTGACCCCGGGTCTCAGCCGAAAGGTGGAAAAACCTGCCCCAGGAGTAGGAATCTCGTCCCTCGCTCCGGGCTCGTCTCCCGGTGCCACCAGGTGGCAGCCGACCACAAGGCACATCTTCCCGCAGAGTCCCGGGTTTTTCTGCCATCCCGGGGAATTTCTCGGGCTGGGGATAAAAATCTGTCGGGTTTCCCCCTATTCGCAATGGCCTCACAGCAGCTACACTGCCTTTACTTGGCAGCTGGTAGAAGGAACACCCTACTACAGGTTGTGAAGCTTTCCTATGTGCTTGTGCAAGCATGTAGATTATATGTATAATTTTTACACCCCAAAAAGCTGCACATAACCTGTACAAAATGATCTATTGATCAGCCACGTGTACATGGATGTCATATGTTTGGGGTTTTTTTATAGCAAAATAAGCATTTAGAGAAGGATTATGATGTAAATATGCTATTAATGTTTACAAATAGTCTCCTCTAGGACAAGCATTTCTTTCCCAAAAATATATTGGCAGGTCTTAAATCTTTTCTTAGAAAAGCACAAATAAATAGTTTCAGGAAAGGAACAGGCAGTCTCATGAAAGGTAGGTCCATTGGTGGCTTTTAAATATGATGGTTCAACTTCTGGCTAAGGCTGATTCCCACAAGCATGAAGTATGGTACAAGAGGAATTACTTCTCTATGTGCTTCCTTCTTACACTCTTTTCTTAAGAAAATGTATCCACGGCTGGGCATCGATGAACCTGTAGGCTGATCTAGTGAATTGGTTTGTATCTTATTTAAATTAACATTCTGTATAATTAACAATGCAGCCAATTACTCTGTCAAAGGCTGAAATACAACAGTTAAAAATAAGGTTGGACACTTCAATAGATCTGTTCACATAGATTCCATAAGTGTTATTTCTATACTAGCCATTCAGAAGCCTCCTTCTTGTTTTACACTTTTTACATTTCTAGCAGCAATGGCCCTTCCCAAATCGAGAGGTGCATATCTCCAAAAGGAAGCAGTTCTACCTTCATTTTTCTGGTAATTTTATTTTCATGGGGTCCTCATTCTCCTCTCAGAAAGTTGCGCATGAGTTTTGCAATTTAGAATAGAAAAGAAATGGAAACCATCCTGACACACACACACGCACTGCGTGCCAGACATACAGACATGCAGGCGGCGTCTTTGCACTTATTCCTTTTAGATACAGAACATGAGTCCCTGCAGAGCCTGGGGAAAAAAAAAAAAAAGACTATCCATCAGACCCCATAGTTCATCCTGAGGGAATTGGAAGGGCTCCCCTTGAGCAAACCCTGATGGAAGGGACCTAGGCAAGGGAAGGCATTTTTCTCTAAACTTGGTTTAGGGAGTTTGCTCCAAAATATGTCCAAAGAGAAGGGGTTGAATCAGTCGAATGATGCTGGTGTTTAGCTCCCAAACCCCAGAATTTCCCCAAGCTCTCTGTGAATCCAGCGGAATCTTGCAGAAAGCTAGGGCATCCCAGACAGAAACCTGTGTGCTCAAGTCCCCTGTGGGTCAACCTACTGCCCCAGTGGTCAAGCCCTAGTGGGAGGAAAGGAGACTCCAGGCTCCAGCCCCCAAGCCTGAGCAGAGAGATCAACCACAGGAGAAGGAAGGCTTTCTTTTTTCACCTCCATCATTGTTCTTCCTTCTGTAGCCCTGAGGACTCCTGTAGAGCGAACAGTTTTCAATGCCACTTTCTGTGGAGGAAAGATGGAGATCTATGGATGACACTGGCACCTCCTGTCCAGACCCCAGTGAGAAAAGCAGGCCATACACATCCGTACTGGTGTGGTGGTTCATATGCATCACCACTGGACACCTGGTCCCCTCCTGCACTTGGCTTTTCAGCTCAGATCCTGTTATTTGATCTCTCTTAATCTACTTCCAACTCAGGCAAAAGACTATCTTGACTACCTTACTTAAACCTCTTGATCTCCCATCACTCTTTTCCCCTTATTTAGCTTTATGCTGCTCTTACAATGTGCAACTCTGGACATCCTTTTGGGTTGCAATTTTAGGAACAATACTGTGCACAGCATACCCTTACTTAAATCTCTTTCATATTAATTGACTGCTTAAGGATTGAGTAAATCTCTTAGCTATCAATAGAGAAAAATATTCTGAACAGGTAGCATTTTCTTAGGGGGGAAAAAAACAACCCTGTATATAGAGAATTAATTTATGAGCTTTTTTAAAACACAAGTTCTCCCAGCACTGGGAGAGAAATTCTTTGTAAACATTTTGGGTTGTTGTGGCAGTAAGCCAACATTTCAGTTACACTATAAAAAGCACCCAAAAATTACCAACACCTCCTTTCTCCATCTTAAAAGTTTTATTAAATACTAAAAAGTATTTAAAAGGTCAGATACCCATTTCTCTTCTATCGGAGGATTACTCTAACATGATATGTTTGTCTCCTATTGTGAGTAGCGAAAATCCCCCTGTATCTAGAGTGTTTTGTTTGGATTGAGATGGCATGCAGCTGATGGCTGTGACCTTCATGGTGGCTTAGATCCCTGGCTGGCACTGATTTTTGATTTAGTGCCGATCTGCTGCGCTTGTCACAGGCTGCAAGGTGCTTTCCATGCACTAATGGAACAGCTCAAGGGCAGAGGGGCCCTGTAAATGTCTATCTTTCACCAACACTGTGCTAAACAGAAAGCTGAGTTTTCCTCATGTGAATGACAGACCCTGAGATTATATACAGGAGTGAACTGGGAGTTCTTCTGCCTGGGCTGATGCTTGGCAGTAAATAAATGTCACTGTAAAATGGGAAGTTTTTATTTTTCTGAGTGGTAATGAATATAAGTGCATGGTGTTAAACAGAATACTTGATGTTGCCTATATATCCACATCTGATGGCAGGAACTAGCTATATACACACCACATGCACCATAAGCATTTGTGTGTTTCCTTTGAAACCTAAAGGTTTTGTGCCAAAGGTCAGTTTGAGCCTGCCTGCATTAGTAGGTCATTAATTAATCTTGTTCCTTAATGACACATTCAGCTGAAAAGGAATTTGTTCCAAGCTCTCCTTAGCAGGAAACCAGCATACTGCATTACAAACGGCACAGGATTCCAGGTTAACTCTGCTTATTCACCAATGTTAGGAACAGATGAAGGGCCAAGCATATGGTGCCTACCTAGGGAAGAGCTCATTAAACTCCGTGGAAGTTTCTTCTGCATGTAAGTGCAGGGAGAGGCCATCAGGTTTGCTTTAACAGTATAGAGAGTAATGCATAGTAACTTCATGTCATATTAATCTTATCACTCATTTTCAATGAAACAGGTCTTTACAGAGTAAACATATTCCTTGCACTTAGAAAATCATATTCAGTTGATTTGTGATTTCCATATATTAGATGCAAGCTGGAATATTCAGATCACATGAACAAATGGTTTAACAAACATGTGCCCTCCTAAGTATAATGGACCAGATCATACCATCAGCTTCTGCTGATGAACTGCTGGTTGAACTCCCAAGTGAGTCAAAATTAAGATGCTCTACACTGTGTTGGTGAGGAAGTAGAAATTCTGCTTACAAAACTCTCTCTTTCTCAGATGATCATCTCTCTCCTAGTTATTGGAAAATGACCTATTTATTAACTACTTAGCTGCTTTTTTAAGTTGGTAGTTTAATGATTAAATTTGCCACCACTAATTTCTAAGGTAGGAGAGGAAATGAAAGAGACCACTGCCTCTTCATTCTGCCCCCTGACAGCTAAGCGTGTTCTCAAGACTATACAGAACTGCATTTTGCTGCCCATTGCCACACAGAGAAGTCAGAGGTAATTGAAACCCAGCGGTTTGGCTCTGGAGCAATGCTAAGGACCAGCTTTGGTGACTTCAGTCAATGTACTGGGTAAAGCTATATTAAGCCAATTTTCCAGTCAAAAGTACACAAACAAGCTGCAGTAGAAGGAAATTATTCAACCTCTTTTCAACCCAGTTTTCGTACTTGAGAAAAAAAATAAAAAATTAAAATATTCTGAGTATGTGAATTATGAAATCAACCAAGAAAGTTTTATGGGGAAGGTAGAGGGAGTAACAATCCGAAAATTCCCATACAGAATTTTATGATACAAGGTTTTAGAGAAATTTCTCCAAGCCCATTCATTTCAGTAATAATGAGTACTCTGAGTTTTGTCTATAGAAATAATTTTTCCTTTTGGGCAAAGATTATAGCCCTCTCATTTAGCCCAGGAAAATATTTTCACTGCTTTTGACAGACAGAGGCCAAGCAGCATCAGGCTATAGGCTATAGATCCTCAGTTTCCTCATCTCTGGCAGAGAAGTGTTTTTTCTAAGGGTGTTGTTGGGCTAATTAATTACCATTGCCAGATTACAACAAGAGTCTTACATGGACAAGAGAGAGAGAGATAGATCAATCCCACCTGGGGCTGAGCCTCTCTGGTCTACTTCAGCCTTAGCCTCAGCCTCGAGGAAGATGATTTGGAGGGATTAGGGTGGCACAGTATGGATTTGGGCTGTGGAGGACCAGGATTTCCCTCCAGCACCTGCTGCTGCCTGGGGTTCATTCAAGCATTGTGGTTGTTTGGAAGACCTTAAAGAGGGACACCTGGAGCTGTTCAAATCACACACTGCCCAGAGCTACCAGTCTAGTACCTTGCCTACATCCAGATTGCGGCTGGGCTCTCTGGTCCACCAGTACAGGAGCCAGTGCCTGGCAGCCCCATACCACAGAAAGTCTGAATTCTTCCTCTCTACTTGAATTTGGACACCACAAGAATCTCAATACCCCACAGTTTTGGCAGCCATGATGCAAGGGCTTCATGCTTTCAGGATGCAGTTCAGGTAAGCAAATGATGCTGTGCTGGGCCAAGGGTGCTGGAAATAACTAGTGTAAGAAGGCCTGGACATCAGTAGTCGAGACTTGATGTGGAATGTCATAACAGCTGTTGGGTTGTTGGTAGTCTGCAGGCAGGGATGCTTATTGATGATCATACTTAGAATCACAGCATCACAGAATCTTAGGTGTTGGAAGGGACCTTGGAAGATCATCTAGTCCAACCCCCCTGCCAGAGCAGGATCACCTGGAGCACATCACACAGGAACGCATCCAGGCAGAAGAAAAGATACCTTTTGTTCTGGTGTGAACACAATGCTCTTACAC